CTTAGAAACGAAGTTTGATCCTTTGTCTGATTCCCTTATAATAAAGCAAAAAGAAGTTTGAGTCATCCAACTAAGAAACAAAGCTCAAACTCCCCTCTTTATAAACAATAAAGAAACATCGTAAACCCTAAAATAAACCAAGACGAAGAAACCATTCAACTTAGAAACAAAGCTTGGTTCCTGAAAAGACAATCGTAGACAGTCCACGCAAATCAGAGCAACGAGACCATCTAACTTAGGAACAACGTATCGTCCTCGAGACAATTAAAAAAACTAAACATAGCACTGGGTCATTCAACTTAGAAACTAAGCCCAACCTTTGGTTGACCCGGTCAGTCGCAAGCAAAACCACCTGTCTCTCGCCTTCCCCAAATTCACAACCCCTTTTTCAATCTGAATTCAGACAAGCAACAAAAATGAAATTGAAAATGGGCATTCATTCCTTTACTTAGCTCAGATTTATGTCCAGAAAATCAAACATAAACTCAATATGGGATGCATGAAGTATACTCAGTCAAACCATAGAAAGATGTATAGGTAAGGGTTTTATCTGGGTTTATAGAAGGGGATGATGATTACCACTCAGTTCCCTGCCCCCAGAACATCGCCTAGGTCCAAGCAGAGCTCCCACAATCTGTGAGGCAATCCTCCCACAGAGGCCTTGGCACGGATTACGAGTTGCAATCTCGCCCACCGCCTTCCTTTAAGGAGTCAGAACCAATAGACTAGACTTAGAATAAGAAGGGCAGAAGGAGGAAAATTTTGTCACTCAGACCTTAGAATGGTGCACTCATACTCGTGTGAGAGCCTTCAAATATTCCATGCGTCTTAGGGTCCCGCAATGATGGCCAAATAAGCAGTAATCCCGCTAAACTAAAGTCAGAACGCTAAATGCTGACCTCCTGGTGGTCCTCGCAATCGCAACAAACACCCCTTTCAAAGAAACTCGGCCACTCTACAGTCACTGACTTCCACTCCGGATAAAACAACAGTTGCGTAGTCCAGAAAGCCTGCATTCAAACACCACCCTTGTATTCTACTTAACGTAGAGGTGTTAGACGTAGCAACTTCAATAGACTCAGCAACCCCACCAGTTGTTCACGGTAGCGAAGTACCAAAATACAGTAAATCACAATGTCACGATTGCTTTGCAGCAGACCATAAACAACACAGTGGTCTACTGCGCATACACAGACTGTGGGCGGAAACCAATAACAACCCCTTCCTGATCCTCGTTGTTGTGTGAACACGCAACAACATCACCAGTCGTCGACTGCAGTAGCCCAACTGAAATCCATCTTAGTTGCAGCTCCTAGACCGGACAGTTGCAGCAACATCTGTAGCGGAATAATTCCATAACTACAGCTTCCTCTCGTGAAACCCAAAGAGTTATTGGTTCTTCAGTCTGACCTGGTGAGTTTCAGATCGGCCCTGCACCAAACAGGCAATGCCCTTCTGCCTCACTCTGCTGGCTCCACTTCTCCTTTTTCAAACTCGCTCCCCCAATCTATCGTATCTCGATGTTACTGAATCTGACCGCAACCCCGACCCGATGCGGGTAACTCAAAGTAGCCAGGATCCGCCCTTTATCTAATAAGAAGAACCCTACCAGAAGCCGGAGTATACTGCACCTATGTGACACCCTCGGCCTAGACTGCGGGCAATTCGGCCGCCTCGACCAAAAAAGTCGGCCGGCCTATTTTTTTAGTATATTTTTATACCCCTAAAAATACGTAATATATATATATATATACAGGGTTACCTGACCGAACGCTCGGGGCCCCCCGGGCTGGCCCCCGAACGTTCGAGCGTTCGGGGTCCTGTTCGGGGGCCGAACACCTGCAGGTTCGGCCCCCGCCAAAAACATTTTTGGGGCCAAAATGTTTGTTTTTTTTTTTTAAGTTTTTTTTATGAGTTCTCTATGATGTAACCTACACGCCTATAAATTTTGAATCTATTTTGCTAAGCCAAAAAAACACTAAAAATCGTCAAAGATGGGGGCGTCAAAACGTGCTCGCCCACTCACTATTTTGTTTTTTTTTTCAGTTTTAACTTTTTGTTTTCCCTTTATTTCGGGGCCTACAAAAAAATATTATTTTTTTAAAACAATTTAACGAGTTATTGATTATGTAAACTACATATCTGTAAATTTTCAGGGCATTTTTCAATGCCAAAACATAATTAAAAATCGGCAAAGATGGCGGTGTCGAAAAGGTGCTGGCACACTCACTCATTTTAATTCTCTTTTTATTTTTTCTTATTTTTATCATAGTGTTTATTTTCTGTATTTGATTTTTAATTCAAATTTGGTAACGAATTTGGATGTAGTGCCCAGGAAAATGTTGTTTAGTTTATTGTTCTCCATAACATATTTTGTTTTCGGAATTTTTTGAAAACGTTGTTTTGTTTTTTGTTTTTTTTTGTCTGCGTTCGGCCCGAACGGCCAAACGCCTTCCGAAGGGGTCCCATACGTTCGGGCGTTCGGGTTCGGGCGTTCGGCCTGTCCCGAATGCCGGCAACCCTGTATATATATATATATATATATATATATATATATATATATATATATATATATATACTTCTGTAATACTTACAACAATTCTGCGTTCGGCCCAAGCGGCCGAACGCCTTCCGAAGGGGTCCCATACGTTTGGGCGTTCGGGTTCGGGCGTTCGGGTTCGGGCGTTCGGCCCGTCCCGAATGTCGGCAACCCTATATATATATATATATATATATATTTGACGATATATATATAATATATATATATATAGGCTTCCTAAGCCGCCCGACCGGGCAGGCACGGTTGTGCACCAGTACAGACTGCACGGGCGGGCAACTGCACGGGTCACCCGTGCGAGCTATTTTTTATTAAAAAAAAAAAAAAAAAGGTGATAGGGGTCTGTTGCGCATGCAGAGATGTGCCCGAATCCGCCTTTTCCACACATGTTCGCAACATTGCTACGTGGAGATTGAAGATGGAGAGAGGAGGGTAGAAGATGGCGGGCAAGAGGCTTGAGGTGGTGAAAGGGAGGGGGAGGTTGCAGGCGGGGAGGTGGGAGATGGCCGGATTGAGGTAGGAGGTGGCGGGAGTTAAGTGAGAGATGGCAAAATGGAGGGAGGGGGGAGATGGCAGAAGGGAGGTGGGAGAAGGAAAGGGAAGTGGGAAATAGTGGGAGGGGAGGTAGGAGGTGGCGGGAAGGAGGCGGAGGATTGGCGAGAGGGAGGAGGACGATGGTGGGAGGGATGTGGGAGATAGCGGGAGGGGTAATGGGGGGTAGCAAGAGGGGTAGTGGGAGGTGGCGGGAGATGGTGGAAGAGTAGGAACGGAGTGGCAGGAGGGAGGTGGATGATGGCGGAAGAGAACGAACGAAGTGGCGGAAGAGAAGTGAAGGGCGACGAGCACACGGAGAAGTTGAACGAAGAAGAAGAAGAAGAAGAAGAAGAAGAAGAAGAAGAAGAAGAAGAAGAAGAAGAAGACGAAGAAGGAGGATAAGGAGGAGGAGTAGCCTTACCCCCACATTCGTCCTCCCTTACTTCTTGTAATACTCTCCCTCTAGCCCATGAAACCCTCCTTTCTCCCCCCCACTGCATTCCTCCTCTCCAACGTCCATGATATGAGATATTCGGTAACGCCTGGACACCACTAGTCTGCTCCCTCCCTGCCCCACGATCCCTCTCCCGCCTCATCATCCTGGTGTCCTCTCACCCCGTACTCTTATCCACGCGTCATGTCGTCATAGCACCTGTCGCTCTTCGTTTCCCAATCTCACCAAGGAGCCTGCCGTCGCATCAGTCCGTCGGGCGGCCCGACGAATTGCCTTCCTCCCTCAGGAAACCCCATATCTCTCTACAAGGCCTCACACTCCTGCCATTTGCAGGTTATAGGGCAATGCCCTAGCTCCGACCAACGTCGTTCTGCCATCGGCAAACCAAGGCCACAAAACAAAGCAACTCTGTAGATATCAGTCCATGTTCGACCATCTCTTAAATCCTATATCCCAAAATTCCCAAATGAGGAAGAAGGCCAGATGCTGCCAAAAATTTCAGAACACCAGAAAGCTTAATATAACATGATTAAGAACTATGAGATTCTTTTTTTTTTTTTTAGCAAACCTAGTCATCCCCTATACAAAACACACAACCCCAGAGACAATACTTTCCTGACCAATGCCAGTCACAACTGATGTGATCTTGCCACCAAGACTATACCCGGCCCTTTAAGTTGTCAAGGCTGACCCCCCCGAGTTCGCCACTGGATTGCCTTCCTCCCTCGATTACTCCCTAGATCTCACTTCCAGGCCTCACACTCCTGCTACCAACAGGTCACAGGGCTAACGCCCCAGCACCGGCCAGCGTCGTTCTAGCATCGGCAAACCAAGAGCCCGAAACACATTGGCTTTGCAAGCAGTCTGTCCGGATTCTACCATCTCTAAAACCATGTATTGTATATAAAGGGAAAACCAGATATCGCCTAGGATTACAGAAAAACAGGTAAGCTTGATATAGCATAATTAGTGTTTACACCTAAGATTAGTCTCCTCCCTCCCCTCCTTTCCATCCTGTCCCAACGCTGCCCCCGGCGAAACGGATTACCCAGATTGCAGGCAACCCATCACCGCCCCAACTTGGGACAGTCCCACCTTCTCCACCCTTATCCCACAAAGGCATGCGGTTCCCTCCCAAAGTATGCCTCTGCCCACCTTTTACCCTGTTCATGTGGAAAAAACCCTATGTTCCCATTCTACCGTTTCTCCATATCGAGCAAGGTCTCAAGCCCATTCCTGTCAATCAACCAAAATATGTCCATAGCGAGCAAGGCATCATGTGTCGAACACACCAGAAGTCGGAACCCTAATTCTGATGTGATCTGTGTTCATGTGGGGAGAACCCCATGCACCCATTCTACCGTTTCTCCATATCGAGGAGGTCCTCAAGCCCAATCCTATCAATCAACCAAGGGTCGAAACCCAAGTACATATGTATTGTGTGAAAGCTGAAAATCGGGTCCAGCATCCCTATACAACAGTGTATGAAGCCAATCAGTATATATGCATAACTCACCTGCATCACGGAGAGGAGCGGAGACAATAACTACTTCCCTACGCAAGGGAAGAAAAACTCACCCCACCCCAATCAAGGAATCAACCTAAAAAAAGTAAAACGTACAATCAAAATGTAATCAACAAACCCCTCATGAGGCCACGTGAGAAAAAGTTGAGGGTATGAGAGTTGAGAACCAATCATCCTTGATCAACGAGGGGGAGATCATCTATCCTACTCCCACCCGGTGCCAAAAAAGAAAAAACGAATCATCTTAAAACGCCCGTCTCGCCTGTTTTGCCCAGTCGCTGCTCGCGGTCGTTGCTGAAGTTGTTGTCGTTGTTATTGTTGTTGTTGTTGTTGTTGTTGTTGTTGTTGTTGTTGTTGTTGTTATCGCCGTCCACCCTCGCACCCTGCTTGTCGATCTCGCCGAATCTCTGCATCCCCTCCACCACAACCACCTCCTCTGTCTTACACTCGTGCTCCTCCTTCCACTCATCCGCCCGGTCTCCATCACCCCGCTGCAAATGGGTGTCCCCGTTGTTGTTGCTGTCATCATCCGCCACGCCCATCTCACCGACTGCCATTATCTGCTCGTCATCGTTTTTGATGTTGTTGTTAGTGTTGATGTTGTTGTTGTTGTCATTATTGTTATTGTTGTTGTAATTGTTGTTGCCGTCTGCCATGAGCCCTTGCTCCACCTCCCACATACTTGCCTGGCTTCCAACACTCTGCTGCAAATGAGTGACACTGTCGACGTTGGCACTCTCAGTGCCTCCCTGAACAGAGAGCGCCATCAGGTTCTCGTACCATCCTCCAACCCCCCGCTCATGTTCATCCCTGCAGCCGTCGTCATGATTGTTGTTGTAGTTGTTGTTGTTGTTGTTGTTGTTGTTGTTATTGTTGTTGTTGTCGTCAACCTTTCCACTATTCACACCGATCTCTCTCGTTCCCTGTCTCTTCTCCACCACAACCACCGCCTCTGCCACGCGCCCTTGCTCCACCTCCCACTCACCCGCCCGGTCTCCATCACCCAGGTGCAAATGAGTGGCACCGTCGACGTCGACACTCTCACAGTCTCTCAGAGTTGCCCTGGATAGAGAGCACCAACAAATTCTCGTACCATCCTCCAACCCCCCCCTCATATTCATCCCTGTCCCACACATCCTTTCCACGGTCCATCTCCCCATCTACTTCCCAGTTCACACAACCTACAAAAATTTGAGCGTAGTAGCCAACCATGTCTTCGTCATCATACCCACCATCCTGAGAACACGGAACGTCGTCTTCCATGTAGAAAGGAATATCTCCATACTACAACTCCCCCACCAACTCCATCGTGTTTCCGAAGAGCTGCGCTGCCATGTTTATCGTCGTCTCATTCTCTGCTGGCGGTACCCCTGTCCACGCGTCATGGACAACCACATCACCAACCGCAGATGCCGCGTGGCCAATCAAGGAGCCACGCACGTATGTTGGACGCGTGCAAAGGCCCAACATCCGAGGAGCATTCCCCCTCAGGTCCTAGTCGAGCCTGGGGAACCGGACCTCGTCAGTCCGCCAGGCGACGGGGCGCTAGCGCTAGTGCAAACTCCTTTACCCTAATTCAAATTCGGACCCGGTTCATTTCTAACCCTGGGCCCCTCACTCAATAGGGTTCAGCCTTTACTTGAGACAATAAAAAGCTCCCCACGAATAGACCGGAGCTCTGTTTGAAAAAAACAAGAGAAAAAGAAAGAAAGAACAAAAGGGATCGTAACCTGAGTATCTGTTGAGGCCTGGATTCATGTGCGCATCGCAAGTTAGCAGGGCGCCGAGTAGACGCACTTGGCGGTAGCCGCTTGTGCTCTACTGGGTCTTCTTCGGCCAATCGGTGATGGAATCTCGTCCCAAAGATCACACTCCGTGTTGGTTTCATTTGTTTTTCTATGGTTAATGGGGAGTTGTGCAACATGTATTTGCCATTTGGTGGTTGCTTGCGGACATAACATGGGTAATCTTTGGCAAAACGAAGTCTTAGAGTGAAGTTTTAAGACCGTGATAATGAAACACTTTGATGTGGGGCTTACATAACTGCAAACTCGCAACCAGTCTGATGCACATAGGTTAGGGCCGCGATGGAGCACCGTTCAAATGTAATGTTATAGTGTTGCTCAAGCGCCTTAAACAGCAATTTCGTGAAAACGGACATTTTATATTTTTTGAATGAAATTGAAACCGACTGCTTGCTTTTGCCCAAACAATATCATTTTTTTGGCTCATGAGAGTCTGGCGTTCTGAAAATGCCGTACCCCCTGGATGTACCTAAACTTCCTCCACGTGCAGATAATGGGTCAATTGTTTCACTAGGGCGAAAAAGAGTCTTATGTACTGATGGTTTTGATGAAGATTTTGTGAAACTTGATACATGCAGGGGATATAATATTTCCAGAATGTCGGATCCTCAGGAGAAAAAAAATGAGAGTTTTTGTGGCAATCTTGTATTTTACTATTTTCTATACTTTTCACAGACTCTGTAGTTCCTTATATTGGTTTTATCTCCCTTTATGTGTAAAAGGTTGAGAATCCCCTGCCCAACTAATTCTCCCATTTGCCCTGACACATAAATTGAATCAACAAATTTTATTAGGTCTGATGAGAAGGCTGACCACATGACTTCCCAAAATTCTTTCGGATATCCATCAATGTAAGGGGTTTTATCCTCCTCCATCTGTAATAATGTTGTCCATAGTTCCTCCAAGGATAATGGCCTCTCTAACTGGTCTCTTTGTTCATGAGTCAATGTTTGATTTAATTGCAAGAAACCTCTTCATGGCTACCTCATCTTCTTGAATATGTTCCATATTTTTCGTTGATGTGAATTTTTTTTTGTAAACATCATAAGCAATTTTAAGGCTTCCCGATGAGGATAATGAGATAGAGAGAACAAATGCTCTAGTAGGGTCATGAAACCCTTCAATAGTGGTGTGACTAGATCTAGTACGCAGTAAAGCAAAAAAAAATAACGTCAATTTGACCTTCAGTCATATATTGTGATAATTTGACTCTGCCAACGATGTTGGGTAAAAGATAGAAGGTGATGTTTCAGTTCTTGAATATCGACTGGGTGATAATTATTTTGTAATTGATCAAGTTCAAAATTAGAAGTTGTTCTTGAATGTTTATTTTTTGAAGGTAACGGTACTTTGCATGTACTTCAAAAAATTCATTACATTTTTTGACAAAAAATGTCAGACCATTGTTGAACCATGCTATGTAGGTGTCTACGTATTTTCCCCTAAGAAAGGTTGTTCACTTGTATTTGCAATAGTGACTCCCAACATTAATCTAGATCCATAATAGATTTAATCCTAAGGTCACGGGATCTGGATCGAGGTTTGATATTAGCTGCTATCTTTTCCCAAAGTCCATGGTAAGGGATGAATCATAAAATGTATATAACTCTATTGCCTTTTAGAAAAAAGTCGGATCAGGGGAATAATTTTTACAAATTAAACACCTCTTTACTTTCGCAAAGACAATTCAAACAATACATAAAGGACGTTTTTTTTTTCCTTTTGTAGTGTCCCAATAATCCCAAACGTCCTTTATGTATTGTTTGAATTGTCTTTGCAAAAGTAAGGAGGTGTTTAATTTGTAAAAATTATTCCCCTGATCCGACTTTTTTCTAAAAGGCAATAGAGTTATATACATTTTATGATTCATCCCTGACCATGGACTTTGGGAAAAGATAGCAGCTCATATCAAACCTCGATCCAGATCCCGTGACCTTAGGATTAAATCTATTATGGATCTAGATTAATGCTGGGAGCCACTATTGCAAATACAAGTGAACAACCTTTCTTAGGGGAAAATACGTCGGTATGTATCAAATAATTGTTCATCTTCACATAATCTATTGATGATGTTTTCATCCTCTTCTATATATGTTGGACAAGGAGTGAGAACTTTCCATCGATCCATCCATATATTAGGGGTTGCATTGAAGTCCCCTGCCATGATGAATGGTTTTCCATCTGGAATTTGAACCTTGATTTTATGAAAAAATTTAACCCTTTCTTGGACCTCATTGGGTTCATATACATTAATGACACATACTATTTCCAGTTCCAGCATAGCCAAAGCAAAGATTTAAGGACCATGTTCTTTATCGGTTATCCAATGAACAATTTATACCCTAGAATCTGGAGGCACCCAAATGGCCACTCCTCCTGAGCTACTTTGTGGCACCGGACATGAAATTTTTAAAAAAGGTTATGCCCGATTGTGTGGTCTATTATGGGTTGAGGAGTCCATGAGATGGGTTTCCTGTATGCAGATCAAATCAGGCCATATATGACCCCTCACTCCCATGAGTTGCTTTATTACAACTTTCCTCTTTTCCCCTTTTGTTATGGCGAGTTCATTTACATCCATCATTATTACATCTAAATTGGTCACTCTGGTAGCATGGACCCAAATGGATTCTTCCCATAATGCGCTTGCAGTGCCTGCATTAATAGATTACGAAATAAATTTCCTTCCTTTCCCTATGTCTAGTTAACTTCTATAAGCGCATTGAATTAAATTTCCCCTTATCCAAGTTAGTAGAGGACTGAAGAACCCCCCTTCAGAGGATTGAGCACAAAAAGAACGTTACATTTGCCACTGACCAGACTGAGTTTGCTTTGAGTTTGATGTACAATAAATCCAACAGGGCGTTATGTGAGTACCATTTGAGGTCAGCCTCCGTTTGATCCTCAAACCTAACGAAGGCATCCTGCTTGGCTATTTGTGTCCGATCACCTATTTTTGTGAGAGTTGCCTGAGGTCCCGGATCATAATGTTTGGAGAGGAAGTCGTGAAAATCTCGTTTGAAATTCTGGTCATTAGAATTCTGATATTCCACGTATGTGGACCATCCTCTCAAGATCACCCCTCCATATTAATCTTGCCCCATTGGAGACAACCCGATTTCCCACTTCCCATTTTTCTTTTTAATTGGAATAACCAAATTACCGCCTTGGTGCGTGCGACCTGATGGCTAGACCTCTTTCCAGAACATTCGCAATTTTTGTTTTTTACCTGTTTCTTGTGAAACTGACGTGAGGAAAGAGACTGACCCTTCCTGAGTGTGTTGTCCTTTGTGTACAAACCCCCGTGAGTGATTGACAGATTGTGCCTATTGTTGTGTCAGTCGCTGTAATCGCAGAGATTGATCGATATGTTGTTGTTCCATATAAAGTTTTTGATTCTGTTATGAAAACAGGAACTAACGTTGTGGCACCTCATGCATCGGTTCGTGCTGTTGCGACAACAACTGTTGTTGGGAAATCTGTTCTGGTACTTGAGATCGTTGTTGAGACTAACAACTGTTGTTGTGACGCCTGTATAACAACCGGATTCTCATCATTAGTAATTCATTTTTTTTCTTCTCCCTTTCCTTCCTTCACCACCCCTTCTTCATACTATTCATTCTTTGTTTGTATTTCATTGTCTAACAGCTATTTCGTCAAAACGGACATATTTTATTTTTTGAACGAAATCAAAATTGACTTTTTTTGTCAAAATCCGGTTGGAATTTTTTGCTACTTGGGGTCCGGCGTTTTGGGAACGCCGGAACCCCAGGGAGCAAAAAATTCCGACCGGATTTTGGCAAAAAAAGTCAGTTTTGATTTCGTTCAAAAAATATAATATGTCCGTTTTGACGAAATGACTGTTGTCTTCATTGTCATCCTTCACCATGCTTAGAGAATCAGGATTTGCCTTGGAAATAAAGGGCCTAGGATCCAAGTCACAATGGTTTTGTTGTTCTTTGCATTCCTGAGGAGATGGATTCCGGTAAGTAGAGGTCTAGGTTACCATAGAGGTTACCAACACTATTGCAGAATCCTGTAACTCATCTTGTGTGAGGGGGGGAGAGAAGGGGGGGGGGGGGGGCTGAAACATAGTTCTTAACGCCTGCAACATCCTCTGACTTACCACTGGCCAACTCACTCCAGGTGGCAATCCCTGCTGCAGAATCCTCTTAAAAATACGACTTTAATTTAGAATATTTTTGCAAGTTGAACATATGACATATCCCATTAATTCTCCGGTGGTTGTTTCGTATTTTGACTTCAACTGCTGGAGTAGCCAATCAGCTAGTTGGATGATTTTTTGTTCCATGGGAATTTGATCCTCTCCCTCCGTAGGGCAGGGTGCAACGTGCATCGAAGTATCTACTGGAACTTGTTCGTCCACATCCATTGAGGTCGGAC